ATATGCAAAACACTACGTTTTTCTGCATGGCCTTCAGCCAGTCCGGACTGTAACTCCATTTTCAGGGTGCTTTCCACTAGATGTTCATATGCATCAGCATGAGAGGACAAGAAACCATGAAACTCAACCAACCAGAGAAACATGAGGGCCTGCTATGTTGAGGCAATGCTACAGTTCCTCTGGCTGTTTCTCTTCTGTATCTCAGAAGAAATGCCAACGACTGTTTCCTTTGATAAAATAGTCTACACTGACTATAAATAAGATTTCCATGTTGTTTTCTATTTATCTTATGTGATAATCTACAGGAATACAATTTAGCATGGAGAAGCACAGCAAGTGTATCCAGTTTAGGGGCAGAAAGTCATGAGGGGTCATCCAACTGCACAGCAGGCAATGGGAAAGAAAGGAGAGGATGCTGGCTGGGAACATTTTTGTGCATTTCAGTCTTCTTTTCTGGTGAAGGGAGAGTGGGTTCATAAATGAATTACAACTTGCTGAAGGTATTTTAAATTGTATCGCAGTCATTTCCCATACAGATGTCAAAATAAATCATTTTGTATAATAGGAATAGAATGTGGTATCGGACTGGATAGTATTGTTTGGGGAGATGCGTGAAATTATTATAAATCAAGGTGAAGATTTCAAAGGGACTTTGAGCAAGTCATGAGTGTTTGCAAGAAGCAGTAAAATAAGAAAGACAGTAAGGGAGACAGGCACAAGAGATGTATTGGGAACATGCACTGGGGACTCCCATACAAGCAGAGCCAGGTGGGAGAAAGCTGTCTAGACCAGGGATGGGGATGGGAGAGAGAGTTGTGGTGAGAAGTCTCCAAGTTGGAGAAAGCTGAAGAGACCATTGGGGCAGAATGGAGTGCAGATGAAACCGTTGCTTCAGCAATCTCTGTTGTCTGTGTGCTTCTTCCTGCTTTCCTTCTTAGGATAGTACTGCCACAGGGTGCTGAGTATTGAGCTCCCCTGCTATTTTAGAAGCCACATGTGTGTGTGGTAGGGTGGCAGGTTGGCTTCAGGCTTCCCCAGGAGGCCACAGGCAACTTCCACTCCTGATCCTTGTGCTGTTGCCCCCCCTTGATACACAGAAGGGGCCTCTGGAGGTCATCCAGTCCAACCACCCCTCAAAGCAGGACTGCAGCAATACCAGTTCTGGTCAACTGTGGCTTTCCTCTAGTTAGGTCTTAAATAACTGCAAGACTGATACCAGAACTCCAAGCAAGAGTGAGACTTGCAGTACAGGAGCTTATACACGCAATTTGGATGGAGAACTTTCCAAACAACAAGTAGTAATACAGGTTCTTTTTGGCTATCAACAATGGGAAACATTTTCCGTTTCTCTGTTTTTGCGTGTTTTCCTTCTTTGTCATGTGTCGTATTAGTGTGGGTTGTTGCATTGTGCCAAGGTAACACCAAGCAATTCCTAATTGGCTTACTGTGCACATTTTGACTTGCCTTGGAGTCAAAGAAGTCGTTGTTCCTTCTCTTATTTCTAGCAATGCTTTACTGCTGGGGGGAGAAAGAAGTCTGGATGTTTTTCTAAATCAGTTGTCCTTTTCAAAATTAATTAAGTCTTCGTTAATGGTGCAGAAATCCTCATTAATAAGGATAAGGCAGTTGAGAGAGGCAGACAGTTTGGCATTCCAAATCCCAGGCTAGGCTTGGCAATTTAAAATACAAATTTAATTAAAAATGCTGTGAATGAAGGAGACATAGGTCCTCATCTGCCGTTTTCTTTTCATAACAAGGTTTGTGCAGAGAATGCAAAATCACTGGCAGACAATCACAGTCTCTGAAAATAATCTTTGTTTTCAGCATGTGATTTGACTTTAGACTGTGTTAATGCTGAGCAAAGATTTACAGCAGGAGAAGAGTACAAATTCCTAAAATAGCCTAAATCAGTCATGGAGCCAAGATTTCATGTGCTGGGTAGAAACCAGCTGTAATAAACCTAAACAGCATTGTGGATCAGTGAGAAAAGTAGAAACTTGGGAACATTTTCTCTCTGCTGGGCCCTGTGTTTCGGAATACGCTGCATGTTGAGGTTACCTCGATACAACATAATTTGTCACCAGTAAGAAGGTCTGCAGCATGAGCATTGGTTTATTCTATCGAAGCTGTGGCTAATTGATTGGTGCTCTCTGTCTCACTCTTATTTTTCTGTCACCACCCATCCCAATCAGAGGCAACAACCGCTCAAGCTTGAATGTCACCACAAATGTGACCGGCCTTGCTTCAGCGCTGTCACTTGATCCATTCAATGTGCTAGGCAGCCATGCACATCTAGTTTGCCTTTTACTCTGGTTTTCAGATTACTTTTATAATCAGGTCAGCCATACAAAAGCAAATGAAAAGTATCAGATGATGGTAGGACTAGCTCAATAGAGAGACAGCCAGAGCCCTCTCCCAAACCTTCCAACAGCTGTATTTGATGTACATGAATTCACTCTTGCAGCTCCAAACCTCTGAGTCCTTGAGCATTCTTTAGGCTGACCTGAAGGGCAGTACCACTTCGCTTGACAGATGGGATTTTGCCCAAAATAAAAGTGACTTTTCTTATTTATTTTTTTTTCCTAGAAGTTTAGATTCTGTCTTTCTTTCATTTATTTTCAGTGTTTCAATGCTTTCCGTTGTGGGCTTGTTTCTTACATTTTCCAATCTCTCATCCAGTGATGATTCTTTATAGCTGCAATGCTGCTTTCCTTCTTGGACTGAAGGGTCAGCACTGGCTGCCCTTTGAGCAAGCCATAATTGAGTCTTTCCTTTCTCCGTGAATCTGAGGCTGCTACTCCTCTTTATAAAGACTACAATTCTCCCTCACTAATCCAGCTTTCTTTTTCTTGTTTTGTCATTTTTTGTGTTTTGCTTTCCATCTCTAATGAAAAAAAGCAAGCCACCACAATGTGACACCTGATACCGATGCTGTTCAGTGCTCCATCCTGCAGCTGTCCAGTCCTACCTTCATAGTAAAGTTTGTCCCTACTGGATATCATAAAATTGGTATCCAGCATCCCTACTGCCCGATAGGTGGTCAGCTCCTTCTGCAACCTGAGTATACTTCAGTCAAAGCAGTAAATCAAATGCAAGACACAAGTAGTGGGCAACAGAGCTTCATAAGATTCGCTGTTGACAAAACTTGGTCAACATTTCAAAACAAATTTGTTTTGACCATTAACCCAAATTTTGGGTCACCCAAACAGAATTTTGCTGCAGAGATATATAATTAACATAGAAATTATAGCAATTAACCATTTTCTACCAAGGTGTGAGACTCTATATTTAATCTGAAATAGATGTATGCATAAGCTGTTAACAAATATTTAATTCCATCATATTCTTTGCAGTGTTCATAGTATACATATGAGAAAAATAGGGAATAGACTTGGTTAATGATCCTTAGCTTCAAGGCCACATCAACTCCACAAACATATGGGGGAACTTTAGTCTCAAGTAAATACCAGGGCAGTTCTCCAAAGTTTAACTTATTCCTTGGTGACATGAATATTCAATGTGTCTTCCTCCAGAAAACCTGTAAGATTAAAACCCCTTTGAGTATTATTTGTTGGTTTTGGCTGGTGAATGTGTGCATGTGAGCAACTCGTCTGTGCAGATACTGTCTTCTCAGGGTTAATTGTTGTTTCTTATTCATTGAGTGTCATTTAAATAAAAGAGGATGTGGTTTGGCCAAAATCTCCACTTCTGTGATGTCTCACGGCTGCCATTATCATCAGATAACAGGATCACAGAACAGTTGAGGTAGGAAGGGAACTTTGGAAATCATCTGGTCTAACACCCTGGTTTCCAGGACGAGCTGCTCCATCGCTTTTCCAGGACTCAAGGCGAAACTGGCATGTAGTTGCCTTGGTCCTTCTTGCTTTTCTTGAAGATAGGATTGACCTTTTCATTTCAAAGATCGAGAGTGACCTTGCAATGACATATGACAGCTCCATTAGTGGGGTGTATCCATTGGGGCCCGTGGAATTATGTATGTGCAGTTTGCTTAAGTATTTCCTGACCTGATCCTCTTCCACCAAGCGTGCCTCTTCCTTCCTCCAGCCTTTCCCTGTGATTTCTGGAACCTGTAATTCCTGAATCAGATTGGATGTGGATGTGTGAATTCATTCAGTCTGCTGCTGTGGCTGAAGCGAGCAGTTCTGCTGGCTAAGCTTGGAACTGCATTTTAAATGGCAAGTGTTTTCTGAGTGAAAACAAAGCTGAAAGAGGTATCTAAGGGCACCTTACAACACCTAAGAACACCCAGTGCAAGTTTTCTGGGTGGTATCTGTGAATGGGCCAGAATATGTAGAAAAACTATAGAGGTCTTTACAGACAATACTGATGAGATCCAAAGCGTTAGAGGTCCTTTTTATGCAAGTATGTGACCTATGCTAAAACTCTCTGTGGATATACCAAGAAGAGATGTGTTTAACCAGGGGTTTGTACTGATGGATTCCATAACTGAGCTGGCTGGAGCAGACATTGCCACACTGGATATATGCCATTAAAACTGTGCCTTTATTACTGTTGTGCTGATTCAGACAGTAGATAGATCTATCATCCACGCTCACTGCTTAATAACCAGCTGTCATAGTCCTTGTAATGTAACACACTCAATAGATTCGGAAATAGGATACACAAAAGGATAGCAAATGATCCTGGAAAGTCCTTTCCAGACAGATAAATGCTACTAACAATAAACTTGTTATTATTAGTATTGTGATGTTAATGAAAATTATGTACAATTATCTGCTCTTGAAGCTGACTCTTCCCTTTCTGTATAGTTTTTTGATATTGTCTTTTGTGCAGAAGACTTAATAAAGACACCCACGCTGCTTGCAGAAGTTTGAGGTAAATGATTCATATTATTTATGCAGCAGATATTCTCAAGAAGCAAACTAGATCAGGAAGAGATTTAGTTTGCTAGCTTAAGACTTTTGAATAATGGTCACCCACTATACCGTAAGCCTGATCTTGTTTACGCTCTCTTTTAGGAACGTCTCTTGATGAGTCTGCTGCCCAGGAATGTTGCAATGGAAATGAAGGAAGATTTCCTGAAGCCTCCTGAAAGGATTTTCCACAAGATTTACATTCAAAGGCATGACAACGTTAGGTAGGATTGATGTAACCCGTGAAATAATTTAAAGTAGAGAATATTCAATACAAATACAGTGATGCAAAACTGCAGTCAGGTCTTAGAGGAAAAAAAGCCAGCAATGTAGTGAATATTTGTCATTTATGCAGAGAGGGGAGTGGACACAATAGGAAGACTTTACAGTCTTCTCAGGAGATGATGGTGAATCAGTAAATGGCTTAGAATAATAGTGCTAGGAGGCAGGCAACTTTTTTCAAGGGAGAATTCATTCTTTTTGTGCTGTATTACATTTTGGGTGAATAGGAGTATTTATTTTGCGTGGTAACTCTTACACATTTATATTTTCCTGATAGTAAGATGGATTTCTTTGAATGCAATAGATTTTCTGGGTGATAGCATGGAAATACAGAAAGACAGTGTGATGTAAACTTAAAAATGTGTATTCGTCCCTGTCATATGAGCATTGCGTTATTGGCTGAGGCTCAATTCTGTTTCTCACTCCTGTTCAGTAGAAGACTGTTTTGCAAGTGCCCTCATATATATTGATTGTTGTTAAAGTACATTCTCATTTGCTATTCTTCTCTGACCACCCAGACAAATTCCTTAAAGGCCTTCTCTGAATTACGGTGTTTTACCCTATTGCCTCTAGCTACCTTTTCTCTAAGTGCTTTGCTTCCACACCAGAAACAGTGTCAAAGAGGTTTACTTGGTGCCACCCTTGCACTAAGCAAGGTGTAGGCTTAGTAAGTGATGCCACAGAACTGCCTTTATTTGTACTGTGTACTAATGTGGCAACGGAGTAAACCCCTCAGGACCTCCTCCTCTCCCTCATCCACTGTAAAGTTATTCTCTTACAGTTCAGACTATCTCCTATGGAGATGACTGTAGCAGTTGCAAGGACCACTTCCTCGTGACTGCTTGTTGCATCTGTGCGAGTGGGGGAATCAGAGATGGCTGTGATGGGAGTGTTTAGAGGACCGATAAATTAGCTCAGTTTTACACTGTAAAATGAAACATTACTGAGTTTGTTCAGTAGCAGCTCACTTCTTGCTAATGGTAAAATCTTACACGATGTTGGTCAGCATCACTATGTATACAAAACTCTTGGTCTTTAACCATCACTTTAAAGGTAGCTCTAAGTGTACATTACCACAGAGCTGATGCTGCCAAGGTAGCATTATCGGTTAGAGTCTTTGATGGTTCTCAGTTGCCAAAGTCAGGCTTCAGAGCTCCTGAAGGATAGACTTCAAGATCATAGTGGGCATCTTCCTCCTTCTCCAGTTTTCCTTGCTTATGCCTTATGTTTTATACTGTTACCCCACACACATTTGTGAGGACACTAAATTCAAGCATCAGAAAGGTAAAATGATCAAAATGATCATTTATAAATTATCATAAAATGATCAAAAAATATCTGTGTCTCATGAGAAGGAAATAGTCCATATATTGTTCGGAAGCCATTTCAACACAATGTACAGATGATACCTTACTGAGGTGGCCTCAGCCAAGGTTGCCATGAAGAATGTGAGGACCAGATGTGAGCTTACCTGTGAAGACTCCCGACCAAGGCAACTCTTCTATAATGCTTAGGAGTATGGTTTGTAATATACAAGAGACAGCTCTTTCTTAAGATTAGATTAAGTAATGTACGATTAATCTTTTCCTTCTTTATCCCTTGTCTGGTCCTACAGGGCTGAGGAATTTACCGATTACACATGTATGTACAGTGGCTACTGTAAAAACACACTAGTCCTGACTGAGTCTTTTCATGCAGTTATAATTCAATTCAGTAATTTCAGGTTGTGTTTCAGCCCTGAATGGAGCCCTCAACACATTTTGTTGCTTGTCTCTTTTGGAATGAACTTTTCCCACTCCATTAGATATGAATGACACTGTTTCAACACATGCATGGATAAGGGTATGGGTGACTTGGTATATTAACCGGCAGCTACTCAGTCTGCTCTGTAACCCAATTAATGTTCATGAGATAAACAGAAAGTGATCAATTGAACTGCTACCAATTGCTCGAACCTCTGGTATAACCGTTTCATTTAACCTGGTTTTTACAGTGTGAAACAGAACTGGCTGCTTTGAAAGAAGAGATATTCATGTCAGGCAACACGTGCTGGGATAAAGCTACCAATAAAAAGATTCCTCATTGCCCTTTAGAGGTTGTTGTAACCCAGTCTGAGGCCAGAGCACAGCTTGCAGCTATTTATTTATATGCAAACATTTCTGGTCTGTACTGTCTTCTAGAAGGCATCAGAACTCAAAAGGCTTTGGGGTTTAACTTACCCATTTCAATGTTTTAAAAAGCTGTGAGCATGAGCCCTGTGAGCCTTTTGTATGCAGTCTTCTGATCTCATCAAACTTCACAGTGAGCTAGTTTATGTAAAAGCACACCACCCTTTGCTCTTAGTTTTAACAGCCGTCTTTAACTTTTTGACAGCATTGTTTCTTAGTCATTGCAATGAGTTACAGATAAAATTATCAATAGTTTTTCATTAGGGCTGATGTTGAAGGGAAGCAAAACCCCTACAGGTTCCTTTCTGAGGCAGCACATATCATCCTTACTGTAAGTTGTACTCTAATTAAACAAATGGCCCAAGTGGGAATGAAAAACAGGGCACACAACCCCTCCTTACTTTGCTGAGCATTTGTTTATACAAGTGGCTCCACTGAAACCAGCAGGACTATTCAAGTGCACAAAGCGCGTGAATGAGCGTTGTTAAAAGTGAACATTTACCACCTACAAGCGCTTAAATCTTTTGTGTAACTTGGCAGGGTTTCTCCTCCTGAACCCCCTGTAAAGTGACATAGAAAAGGGTTGCTCTGTCAATACTCACAGTTGGGAAGCAACTTAAACCCCTTAGACCAAGCCACAGGCTTCCCTTGCTGGGTTTTAGCAGGTGCTGCAGCTTCCTGCAGTGCTGCGGGAGAGCTGCAGTCACTGGGCAGGCACTGGCTATGCCTGCCTGCAGGGATCAGAGGAGAAGGAACAGGAATACACAAGGTCCTGGAGGGATGACTCAGGCCTTGTCAACACAGCGATGCTCCACATAGCCAAGGAATATGAGATAATGATGCATGTAACTTGTATGCCTGTGTTGAAACTGCTCAACACCTTGTTTGTGAGAGAGATGAGACGGCTGTTCATAATGCTTTCTTTCCTGAAGTTGCTTGCTGCAGTGTTGCTTTGCTTTTATTCAGAATGTTTATACCAGAAGCAGTTAGGAATAGCTGTTTGTGTATCAAACCAAATAGTCCAGGTAACTTTAAAAACGTCCTTAAGAAACCTCCATTAAAAATCAGAATCAGGGAAACAGAGTGGTTTGGGTTGGAAGGAGCCTTAAAGTTCATCTAGTTCCAACCCGCTGTCATGATCAGGGACAGCTTTCATTAGAACAAGTTTCTCAAAACCCTGACCAGCCTGACCTTGAATACTCCCAGGGATGGGGCATTGACAGCTTCTCCAGGCAACGTGTTCCACCCTCATAGGAAAGAATTTCTTCCTTGCATCTAATCTAAATCTACCCTCTTTTAGTTTCAAACCGTTACTCCTTGTTCTATCACTACAGACACTGGTAAAAAAATCTGCCTTTCTTGTAAGCTCCCTTTATATACTGAAAGGGTGCAATGAGGTCTCCCTGGAGCCTTCTCCAGGCTGAACAGCCCATCTCTTTCAGCCTTTCTTCACAGGAGAGGTGTTCCAGCTCTCTGTGACTGTTTTTGTGACCCCTATCTGGATGTGCTCTAACAGATCCTTGTCTTTTTTATGCTGGGAGCCCTAGAGGTGGGTGCAATACTCCAGGTAGGATGAGTGGAGGCAGAGAATCACCTCTCTTGACCTGCCAGCCATGTTTCCCTTTATGCGCCCTGGGGTACAGTTGGCTCTCTGGGCTGTAAGCACACAGTGGTGACTCATGTCCAGCATTTCATCCACCAGTACCCGCAGCTCCTCCTCTGCAGGACTGCTCAATCCATTCATCCCTCAGTCTGTATCCACACTGGGGATTGCCCGCACCCAGATGTTCAACAAGGCCTCTTGCTGAATTTCATGAGGTTCACGTGGACCGGCTTCTCAATGGATGTGAGGTTTAAGTCATGGAAACGGTAACCATAGCTGTTACCTTGAGAGAGAAAACCAGTGATAAAAGTGTGCCTTGCATCTCAAAGCGGTAAGAGGGAAAGATTTCAGACGCTCGGCTGCTGCTGTCTTGCGCTTTAGGAATACTCAGTATCTGTTCCTCTGCGCTTTTGTAAGCAAGCAGGCAGCGTTAGGAGCAAGCAAACCTCTGTGGTTTCATGCAGAGCTTAAAATCAAGAGCAGAAGTTTGACAAAGCTCTGCTCAATAATTGATTATCCTTTCCCCTAGACTTTAATTAGAATATTGACATGCTGTTGTAACTTATGATTCCGATCGCTGTCTGTCTAAAAGCCAAAGGGATTTAAGTTTTTACCAGATTAGCCAAACTTCCTGATCCGGTGAAATCACTGGTAAAAACCTGGTATGACTGAAAACTACAGGACAGATGCCAGATATCTCAAAGTACGTAGGCTTGCAGGGGTTTTGGTATAGCACACAAGCAAAGAGAATGAAAGCTCTTTGGGGTCCCTTTACTCAGCTGTGAGATGGAGGAGTAAGAGCATTGCTGAGCCCCTGGGCAATGAGGCAAGGCCAGGCTTAGCACTGTAATAACTACTTAGACTTGCTAACCATCACATTTACATGGCTTCTCATGGAGAGCAGTGCTTGAATCATGTGCGAGCTATGCTGTTGAATAAACAGAAGGAACCTTTGTCCTTTGTTTTCACTTCCTTTCCATTTCCATTTCTTTTCTTTCTTTAATAGTTTCAGTTTAATTGAGATTGTGGGGTTTCTGCTTTTTCACCAAGTGCCCCAATGGCATCGTTAAGATTTCTATGGAATTAAAGCAGGGAGAGTCATATCCCCGAATGGCTGTTAAGAGAAATGGTTGTTAATGGGTAGTTTCTCTCTTCTTGTTTTTATATATGATAATACCTGTATTTTTTAAATGAAATCACTTGGCAGTCACTGTGAAGTGTCCCTTAGTACACTGTAGCACAATGAGGACTCTCTCATGCATAAATAAGGTAGCCCTAGTTTACCTTAATCCTCTCTGAGGATGTGAACCTCCATGGCAATTAGCAATTAAGCTCCAGTGAACCAAGGCTACTTTGGTCTTGAATGAGTGCATCTACAGGACTGATTAATGTGCCTTAACACTGATGTCATTCCACTAGCTGCTTTAAGTATATCAATGTTAGACATGGCCTACATTTAAGACTGTTGTTATTCTTGTGGGAATTATATATCCAGCTCAAAGGAAAGGAAATTTCAGTGTTCATTTGTGTTGTGCTGAACAGCAGGTGGGGACTTGGACTTTGGACATACTTGAATGTATTTGAAAATATGGTTTGGCCCTGGAAACACTTTGGGCATATCACTAGAATTCCGGCACTGTACATCTTATCATTTCTCTCTTTAACACCCTTACAACTTTCATGACCATAACAAGAATTATAATCTCTTTTCTGTTCTCTCTCTCTCTCTGGCAAATATTGCAGCATCCTGATAAATGCCTTCTGTGTCCTTCATGTTCAAAAAACCTGAGCAGGGTGTAACAGGGGAGAAAAAACTTATGGCACGAGATGGGTGATTTGACTCCATAGTCAAAAGCAGGTGTCACGGGCCAAGATGCTGCCCTAATTTGTTTGAGACATTGTATGGCCAAGAGTACATGTTGGAGCTGCCCCTCAATACCTGCAGTCCAAGTAGTAGGTGAAGAGGAAACACACAGGTACAAACAGGTGAAGAAGCGCAAGAGAGACTAATGGTCAGTACACCCGTTAGGATAAAATGAACCAACTAATGAGTTTCAATGCCATGGTTAGAGTATCAGAGCTGTGTGAGAAAGGATCACCCTTCTCAGGACTGCCACCCCTGAGTGGCAACAGACTGTGGAAGCAGCAGGCTAGCTGTGCTGCTTGCACTTTGGGTCTCCAAAGCCCCTGTTCATCCACTGGCTGTTTCCTGCTATCCCTGCTGAAAAATCATGTTTGTTTACTTGAATTCCAGGCTGCTTTCAACAGAAATGCAGCAGTTGCTCTGGTTGCAACATCTCATGGGTGTAGAATAGAGCAGCGTTCCTCTAAAGGAAAAAGGCAGGGCTTGTACTCGCAGCATTGCCCCCGTTTGTACCTTGCCCAGGTATGGTTGTAATTTGCACATTTGAAGAGTATACAAATTTGTCAAGAACCTCTCATGCCAAGAAAGCGTAACAGCAGTCACATTACCTAACCAATTGCATTGGCTTTAAGATGGATACAGGTACCTGCAGTATGAAACAGTTTCAAGGCATAACTGAACTACTGTGTCTGAGCTCATGATAATTACATGTTTTACCTAAAATACCTACCTATTGCAATTATATGCTCAGTTATGTATTGTGGCTACATTTAGAGACTTTTTTTGTTTTATATTATACTTTTTTTGTATAATTACCAGTGGTTTGAATATAATGAGCATTTTCCAAGGGTTTAAAGGCTTAACAAGGATCCCATCCTGACTTATTAAGGTAGTCATACGTAAAATAACTTTCAGCTTAGCTGAATGATTATGCATAAATGTATTTTCTGTGTTCTCTGCTTAAATAATTGAGAGTTTTGATGTAAGTCTACATGTCAGCAGTGTAATGGTTGCTCTGTTAGTCATCAAGACATTGTTATATAGTCTCCACAAGCACTGGGCATTTCTGGTTTGTGTGTATGTGTGTGTTCTTCATTGCTAAAGACCTCTGTAAAGAGAGAACATTGTTATTACCTTAAAGGCCTAACCCCACACCCTAAATGCTGATTTTGTTGGTGCTGTGGGAGCTATTACTGTACATGTGGTTAGACAGGAAAAAAAGTGGAATGCTGTATTTAAAATAGAAGTAGAAAAATCAATCAAGATGTAGAATGTGCAAAGGATGAGTTGTGAAATGGCAGCAAGGCTGGCAGAAGCTGTTATTATAAAGCAGCATCTACATTCCATGCAAACAGGATCTAATTAAAACTTGGAAACTACGTGACATGTTGGACAGCAACAGTTGTTGTTTTTTCTTCTGTCTTTTTCAACTGTATGAATTCTGATGTGAATTTAGGTCATAAAGTAAATGGGTCATAAAGCAAGCTGTGTGAAAGACCTTGCTGCACATTTAAGTACATTGGAAAGTCTTCAAGGAATTTAGGGGAATGATTTGGTATTAACTGATGAATTTCCAGAAAGAACAGCCTAGGGCTGTCAAACAGCAATGATGTCAGTGCAGAATTCAGGGAGTAAGTAGATCTCTGTGGGCAAATATGAAGAGCACTTTGTTGGGTCCTTTCCAACCCTAACTATTCTATGATTCTATGATTCTATGATTCTATGACTCTATGACTCTATGACTCTATGATTATTGGACCCATTATTATTATTATTGTTTTGTTGTTGTTATTACTGCCTTTTACCTTCTTCATCACATGGTTGGTTCACATTCATGACAGCAGAGACACGCATCAGTAAAATTAACTAAATGCTGAATGTTTCACTATAAGAAGCCTTTTTGTTGTGTTTAAACAGCAAAGGAATGGAAGCCCATTTTGTTTTCCTAAACTCAGGCCATTTGGAGCAACTTTCTCATAAAGCTTGCTCAGAGAAGAGAGTGGGGATTAGCATGACAACACAGAGGCTTTGTGTGTAGATTAAAGCCAGTGAACTTTGAATGAGTTCGTTTTGTGCATTAGGGATACATTACCTAACCTGCTCCAGTAGATGTGGGATTCTAGCAACTGGGTTAAATGAAATTATAGAAGCAGGGGATGAGTAAGGAGTTGTATTTGCTCTTTTCTGTGGCTCATGGTGAATGGGAAATAGTAGACTTGTTAATCTTGCTTTTCTAGCATCTTATTTTTAACTGGTGAGTGAATGTTTGTTGAGGGGAAGGAAAGTATGTTGTAATGCTTAATTTAACTTACCATTTACAAGCTAGGTTTTATACTATGTCAGGTATACCCAGGCCATGTAGCCTAGGACTTATTAGCATTTGCATAAATAAAGACCTGTTTGACATTTATAGTCTGGGTGTTGGAGATAAATGCATCAGATTCCTGCAGTGGGCTCTGGGCCTCTACCAGCAGATGAAGGAATCGAGATGATTCACAGGATCAGAGCTCCATATCTGCACAAGAATTTTTACCCTCTCTCTCACTTTCAGCTATCTCCCTTATTGTCACAGATGGGTAGGAATTGTTAAAGCAGTTTAAACCGTCAGACATCAATACCTTGCTAACATTGATGGAAGCTGGACACTTACCTGAGCCACACAGCATGGTACAGAGAAACCTTGCCTGAAACTGTGGATGCTGGCTCCTCACAAGGAGTAGTAAAACCACATCACAGAGCTACAGTACATGAGTTACTGACTCCTGTCTTTCAGTACCTCATGCGATATTTATCAGTTTGGCCAGTGCAAAACCTGTCTTTGAAACCAATCTTGCTGAGAAGATCCCACCTATAAAGAGGAGACATAGTTGTTCTCTCTGCTCCTTGAAGTGATCGTGTGAAAACCTCATGAACGAGGTGCTTTGCCATATCTACACTGGATAGGTATACACAGTATACACAGGCATTGAAAGTGTTCCAGGGTTCTCTACAACAGCTGACAGCACCAGGCTGATGCCTGTTTGTCTGAATCTTTGCCATTTCCAGCTAGCACTTTATTGATAGTGTTTCAGGGCTTGTTTGAGTTAGTGCTTTGGATCATGCTATAAAAGAGGATGATGAGACTGTGAAGACATCTTCTATACTGATGCCTCTGTCTCTTTTCTTTCTTTACAGCATTCTGTTTGCAGACATTGTGGGGTTCACTAGTTTGGCATCGCAATGTACTGCCCAAGAGCTGGTGAAGCTGCTGAATGAGCTCTTTGGCAAATTTGATGAATTAGCTACAGTAAGTACAATATTCTTATTTCAGTTGAGTTTAAATTCCCCTCTGAAAAATGATGCATGAGTTACATGTTAGAAATTTGTAATAGACTGATATAGCCCTGTGTGTTGTGAGTATTTAAAGCTTCCTATTTTTATTAGTATTCTGGAGAGAAAACGGTCTATTTCAGTTGTTTAGGAAATAAGCTTACATTCCTGTTTTTAATGTAGTTTCCTACCCCCTCCTTGGAGGCCGTCAGTGCTCTTCATTGGTTTTGTTTCCACAAAATAGAGATAATATTTCAATATTTACATTTCCATCCTGCATGGGAAAAAACCAAGATAATGGAAACTGTGAATATTGGCAGGATGGCATAAAACTACTTTCTGTGATAATAAGAAGCTAGAGAGTAAAATCAGTTCTTCACAGAGAGCACTCCTTGTCACTGAAATGATGGTAGCTTTTTAGAGAGGCTATTGTAAGCAAAATGGGCTCTGTGTCATAACTGATGCTTATGTTTTGGTGATTGCACTTACACTGTGCCAGATTCCCCAAGGAAAAGAAAATGAGAGAAATGTTCCTTGCTTATGACTCCTAGTAGTCTAATGGTACTGCAACTGCTTGACAAGAAATGAGAGGAATGGACATGCCTGAAACAATCACACATCTTGTTTCAAATTGCATTTAACAATATGCTGAAAATGTGTTTTCCCCTTGAACAAAGCAAAACTTCCTCAAATCTGTGATGGGAGGACATTGCTGAGAAGTATCACCTCCACATGAATTATGCTCCTCTGCTCTATAGCTGTCTTGTCTTCAGACTGTGCAGCAGCCTAAGGAAATTTCTTCAGGTTCTCAACATCCCTGTTTTTTTCAGTCCAAACTCAATTTCCTTGATGTAACCTTCCACATGAGAACTGAAGCCTGGGGACACTTTGCATCTATGGCTCCTTCTTGATAAACAGCTCTCAACAACCCCACAGAGAAATAAGTCTCCTGGTCCACAAGATGCCAGGATTGACAAAGACCTATTCTTAGTTAAAGGGGTTATCATTTGTTTAGGTGTTATGTCCCAATTTGCACTTGATGTCCAACTCATAACAGAGTGGAACTGTTGTGTGTTCCCTTTTTCCAAGAAAAACAAAAGATTAACTTAGATGCTGAGTAGAGATGCAATGGAGGTGTGGGGTTTTGGCATGGATTTATAACACGCTCACAGGCTTTGCACAACCAATTCATTACTAGAACTGCAGGCAATGCCTCAGAGAGAGCACAGGTCCCCAGGGTGCTTCATAGATGTATACCTTAGACATCAAAGGGACTGCCATGCAGATGAGCATTGGCAAAAGCTTAAATGGCTTAAAAAGTTCAGTCTCCTGACTTTAATTTCATTACTGAATTTCATCCTCCAAATGTCAACCAGCCATAGAATCCCAGACTGGTTTGGGTTAGAAAGGACCATCATCTTGTTTCAATCCACCTGCTGTGGGCAGGGACACCTTCCACTAGACCAGGCTGCTCCAAGCCTCTGTGTCCAACCTGGCCTTGAACACTGCCAGGGATGGGGCAGCCACAGCTTCTCTGGGCACCCTGTGCCAGTGCCTCAGCACCATCACAGGGAAGAACTTCTGCCTTAGATCTAACGTGAACTTCCTCTGTTCCAGTTTGAACCCATCACCCCTTGTCCTATCACTACAGTCCCTGATGAAGAGTCCCTCTCCAGCATCCTCGTAGCCCCTTCAGACACTGGAAGCTGCTCTGAGGTCTCCACACAGCTTCTCTTCTCCAGGCTGAACAGCCCCAGTTTTCTTAGTGCTTTAAAAACTTATAATGCCGTCATCTGTGGAGTCATCTGAGCCATGAAACGCAAAGCAGTGTAGTAGCATGGGAGTACTGTGACATAGCAGGAGATCAGATGTGCACACAGAAATGCACAAGCCTGTGACACAGGACATAGCACTGAAACAAGGGAGGTGGCTAGTGTGCCCTGCTTGCTCCCTTAGCAGTGGCCAGATGGAGCCAACTGGAGGTGTCAGTAACATCTCAGTCAGGGTACCAGGCACATGTTAGCTTGTGATGTGAGGCTACTTGTTTGTTAGGGAAGAAGCAGATTTGAGACAGCAGAGCTAAAACCATTTAGCTTTTCTATCCAGGCTGCATGCATTCTGTTTCCAAATATGAAAAAAATGGTTTATTTCAGGTATGTGAGGAAGATTTGTTACTTACTTGTCCTTCAAGCTCAGACTGTGCTGCATCGGATGTGATAAAGGACAGAATGTATGCGCTTTCCTTGCCACCTTCTGATGTGGTAAAGGGAGACTTGTTACTGTGTCTCCCACAGTCAGAAGAAATGTGCTGGGAAGTGTAATGTTTCAGAAGGATTCTGATCTCTTGTTTATAACAACTTCTAGATGCTCATTATTAGAGCAAAACAGAGCACTAGGCTGATTTTAAACAGTGCTGTGCTTTAGCATTCCGAATGATGAAGGAGACTTCAGGGACTTTAAAGAAAACTGTATTGGTGATAGGTACTTTTGCTGTGAGAACTGAACTGTGGTGTGCCTGCTGTGTGCTGCTGCTTCTTGGGAAGCAATGTCAAGTGGAAGGAGTAGTTTATGGCAGACCTTGTTGAAATAGCTGTCCTGTCTTAAAACTGTAATGCCTAAAAGGTCCCTGTCACCACTGTGGGAAGCGTAGTGAGTGTAAGGCAGCATGTATTTATTCAAAGTCACATGAAGAGTCTTGGCATTTTGGCACATTGACATATTATGGGGATTGGGAGTCTTTGCTTTTGACAGTAGAGCTCATAAGCTGACCAGAACCACCAGGTGCTTCAGACAAAGAGGTCTGGGATGATTTGAGTCCTAACGTTTGTCCTTCTGACATTTAGAAGCCGGTTTATGCTTTTTAGCATTAGATTTTTCTCTCTTCCTATATTCTGCTTGTTTGATTTTTTGGTAAGGCAAATAGTTTTTGAAATGCTATGCCTCTTAAAATCACATATAAAATTGTGAATATCAATTTATAAATAATATACATATTGAAATATATATAAAAACATAAATACAAATATAAATACAGCTTGTAACAGGGACTTCTGAATGCAAACCTTAGGTTTCAGTTTATTGGCATTCAATTCCTTTGAAAGCTTGTTTGAGCATTCTGTTTATAGAGAAGGAAGAGAAGTCCTGATCTTACTCTCTACTAGAAATGATTTTTACTTCTATCATGTTCTTTCTTTTTTATTCACCTCCAGAGAATACATGTTTTTCAAAAGCTTACCTTATACAGGTTATTTTACCTTGTAAATCTCTGAGTCTTTGAACTCTGTTAGGAGAAGAGGTGATCTGAATACAGTACTTAAACTGATGGCATGTTTTCTGTGTTCACAGTAGCACTGTTTGGTTTCTTAAAGAAACAATCTCAGATAGTCTTATTTTACATAAGACTTTTTGGTCTCAATAACTTGTGAATCTATGGGCCAACTTCAGTCACAAGTGAGTCTCAAAAATATAAAGCTAATAAAAAATGAGTGATAGTATTAGTATGCTTGCAGGAGTGTAACTTCATCCTAGCTGCCGCCAGAAGATCCACATGGGGCAGTGCTGTGAGGAATGCCCCAGGGTTCATTTGTATATCTGGTACTGAAGTACCTGTAATGCCACAACCTTTAGGCACCCTGGTTTTCTGAAAGCCTTTTGGGTAAGTTTGCCCATATAGAGATTCCCTTGGGATTGTGCACAATAGCAAGCCACCTTCTTGAACTTACACAGCTAGTTAAGTTTCTCATAAGGCCTATGGATAATAAAAAGAATGCTTTTTCATTAATTTCTATTGGATTTTATCTGCTTTCCAGGCTTAGTTTACTTTGTTCAGCCTGTTACTTCTGAAGCTCCTTCGATTCTTCCAGTTTTAGTAAAGCAAGAGCAGCATTGTGCAGTCTCAGATTTTGCCCTAATGGCAGTCATTCTGCATTGCATGTTATCAATGAATGCTTTAAACAGATGGTCTTTGCATGAGGTATTCAGGTGCTTTTGCAGTTAACCTTCAGCATCTCCTGGGGAGTTAAAATGAAGACTGTGTCCATGTAGAGGAAGCTCCAACACTATAGCTAGCTTCCACTTCATCATTTTTCAGCTTACTTGTGTGATAAATTTAGTGACATATAATCATTTGCATCATGTTGGGTTTAGGTTCCCAAGGAATTCTTGGACACCCCACATTTAGGCTGGGTGCCTTGTTACTATAATACACTGTATTTCAGTGCCTTTGCTTTTCATGCTTTGGCGTGGATTTACTGTGGATGAGGGAGGTTCTCAAGGCTTTGGTTACCCAAGTAGCATCACACAGTTGCACATGCCCCTGCTCGTGTGCCGTCATGGTCCGAGCTCCACTAGCTTGTGATACAGTTCAGCATGCCCAAAATATTTTACCTGTAATAAGTTATCTTACTAGTGAAGAGGAGGTGTTTATCCAGTGTCCTGCATTTTAATGCAATGGGTTTGCTTTTCAGAGGAATTCTGATCTTCTTTTCTTTGGTAGACTTCTCTCCCATACTTTCTGCGTCTAATATATGTGGAAAATTAATTATTTGTGTTTACAGATCCTGTTATTTCTGGTTCAAATCCCATGTTACCGCGTCTTGGGCTTCTAAGACTTTCCATTTACAAGTGGATAAGGATAAATGAAGTTCAGGCTCTTTTCAAAGGACATCACTAGAAGAGGATTTTGATATTCTGAATGAAAGATCTTACCTGTTATGCCACTTCTGGCATCTCCTCTATTAGCCAGACTGACACGCACCGCTTCCTTGTTCTTTCCATTTGCAGTATGTATTCCTCCAGGCTTCACCAGTGTTTGTAGGTTGGGTCTATTTTTATCTCTTTCCATTTTAATTTAGAATCCTTCCCTGATTACCTCCTCAGCTTTTAACAAGTTTTACTCTCTAAATTTCAATGTTAAAGGAGTGGCTTTTTGTACCTGTTCAGCCTCAAAGATATTGAACTTAACTACATTGCTTCTGA